CGGTCAAAAAAGAAGTCCTCAGGTGTGATCTGAAGAGAAGCAAAGAGGGGCAAGGTGGAGGGATTAAGACAGGGGGTTCCAGGTGTTTGGGGGTTAGTGGCTGACAGCCGATCCACCGATGGTGGAGCAGAGGGGTCGAGGGACATGCAGAACACTTGAGCTGGGTGAACAAAGCGGGCAGGTAGAGGAGTGGGATGTGCGCAGGGTTAAGAAGTAGGGAGGTGTTAGGGCTGTTGAAATATATTGACTATCACCTCGGGATACATTGGTATATTTCATACAGCAACCGAATGTTCCAGAAGGTTTGATAGTTAAATGGTTAAAAGTAGCTTTGCTAGACGGGTTGAGGTTAGCTTCTGATTACAATTTATATTTTCCTGGGAAGATGTTCACTCCTCTGAGTTAATGAGCAATTTGGGTCCTTGAGCAGAACCGATACTCCACTGGCTTCCCATCACACAGAGGATACAGTTCAAGAGCAATACTTTAGGATTACAAGATAGCAGAACAAGGGTGGTTGGGGTCGAGGTATAGAGTTGCAAAGGGCAATTTCAGGATAGATACCAGGAGGTTTTTCTTAACCCAGAGTAATTAATGACAAGATCAGGTTGCCAAGTGAAACCAGGACACTGGCTATGTAGGCTGAAGGGTCTTCTTCAACCAAATTAATATTATGATCTTGCGAAGTGATGTGAGATGTTCTCCCTACATAAATTGGTATTGTTTAATGCTGAAAGGATTTGTATTAAAAATGCTGTCCTGGTGCACATGCAATTTAACAAATGTAATTTAAAGTTAAAGGAAATACCCATACTGATTCTTCTGATTTTCTGGGGTTTAAGCAGGAGGTGCCAGAAAAGTTACCACAGGGATAACTGGCTTGTGACGGTCAAGCATTCATTGCAATGTCACTTTTTAGTCATTTGGTGTCATTTCTTTCTATCATTGTGAAGCAGAATTCACCAAACGTTGAATTATTCACCAACTAATAGGGAACATGATCTGGGATTAGATCATCGTGAGATAGTTTAGTATTACCCTATTGATGATGTATTGTTGCAATAGTAATCTTGTTAGAATATGTAATAATAATCCTTGCATTTGATATAGCGCCTTATCACTTTGTTCAAAGATCTCAAAGCGCTTCACAGAATATATTGCAAATGAATTGACTGTATTTTGTGCGCGAAACGTGGCAGCCAATTGCACACAGCAGTGTCTCACGAACAGTCGTGGTTTGAGTGACCCTCAATTATTTTTTTGGAGGGATTATTTCCTCCGGAAAGCGATCTGCCAATCGACTAACAACTAGGTTCCTACTTACTGCTGGACAGGCGTGTGGAGTAAGGAAACTTGCCTAAGGTTTCACCTCGCTCAGGAAACAAACTCAGGTCTTCTCGCTTGCGAGGCGAACATGCGAACCATTATGCTACGGGACTTCGATATGCATTCCGAAGAGTAAAAAAGTCAACTAAAGAAGTCTTACCAATGCAGAATACATTAAGTAACGTGGCAGTCAAACCAGTTTATTTCTACTTTGATAGATCATATGAGTGAATAGTAACAGTCGTCCTCTTAAAAAAATATAGAAGTGGTTAAATTAAACATATTTACTATTATAGATCTGTCCTTTTGAAAGCAATCACTCAAAATTTGCTTCTCTCCCCCAATTTTGATCATAATGATGGTTAAATAAATTGTTAAACTCAGCCTGTTCAGCGATCCGAGACACCACCCTGCATGAAGGTGCTATATAAATGCAAGTTGCTGTTGTCAGTTACAAACAAGTGCGATATGAGTGCTTGTATGGTGGTGATCATAACTTCCATGGGCAATAAATGCTTTGAGATGTTCAAACCCATACTCAATTTGAATACTCTTTCTAATTGAATACCGAGCCTAGGACAATTTTATATTTATCTTACTATAGCTATGAAAATAAATTGCAATGATCTTATGATGATGAGAACCAAAAAGGCTCCAGAAAACAGGATATTTCCATATTAGGCCTGCAATTCACATCATAATGATAATAATAATCCTTGCATTTGATATACCAACTCACCACGTCTTCCAGATGTCTCAAAGCACTTCACAGAATATATTGTAAATTGAATTAACTGTATATTTTGTGGGTGAACCGCAGCAGCCAATTGCTGTCCCACAAACATTCGTGAATTGAGTGACCAATTTTTAAAAAATTCATTGTTCCAGAGAAAATCAAATGTCTGTCCCACTCTAGCTTATCTGTGACAAAAAACATAATGAATTTATGAAGAGTCACTCACAAAAAGTGGATGTCACAGCTAATTGGTGTCTGTTTAAAGTAAGAGCAGTAGTCTTATTAAATAAACTTTAGCCACCTGAAAACATAACCAGTCTGAGTGCAAGATGAATCAAATACAATTTGACAGTAATATAGCAAATAAAAAAAGGTTGATGGCCTTCTACTATTCCTGCTAAGCTAAAAATGTTAAATGCAAAATCACTACAAGTAGATCCAGACCAGTGTGTGTATGGAGCGAGGGGAGGGTAAGAGGAAGGATATTCAGAACATGGGAGTTTGACAGATTTTCCTTTGTGTTTCACAGTTCTCTGTCCCAGGATGTACAGTGACAAATCAGTCGTCCAACCCCAGGATGGTGATGGGTTTCTGCATGTGTCAGACACCCGGCTGACCAAAACAAAACACCCCATATGTAAGTGTGGATATACAGAAGATGGATAGCTGATAATTTAATAATCATTGCATTTGAGCAAAAAGTTAAATAAGTTACATGAAGGAGTGTTATCGGATACATTTGTTTACCAAGTCTCTTGGAATCTGCTTTTAGTAGGTCTCTTACACTTTTGCTTCTGGGGAGGGTAGGTGTCAATTGAATCAATGGTGGTTGGTTTTAATTACTCATAGAGCACTTCCTTGTGGAGAATGAACAAAGCTATTAATTTCTTCAACTTAAAGGCTGCTTGATCAATATGAGGTTTATTCAAGACAATTACCCAAAGCCATATTTGGGAAGGAAAGGGGGCTGAGAAAATAACACTGAAATAGATGGACACAGGATGTCTGCAAATCAAATTGTCCTCCATTTGAAATTTGCTCTTCTAAACGTCAATAATGTCTAGAACCGAGAATATTTAGAGAACAAGTTCCCAGTTTCCTGGGAAATTCAATCCTTATGCATCTCTCTCTCACTCACACTTTGGTGTAGCAGTCGAGGATTTTTGGTTGAAATTTTAAGAAATATCAAAATGTATAAAAGCATTTTCTGCTGTGCTTCTTAATGTGGCACATTTGATTCTTATGTCTCAATTGTAATTTAATTTTAGTTTGTCTTCAACTCCTAATAAGCACTATCGATGTCTGAAGCACCAACAACTGGGTGATATCCATAAATATACAGTCAGCGTCAAACAAATAATAATGAACTCTCCAAGGCATTCGAATACCTTTACGGCTGAAAAGAATTCACTGTCCTGAATCATTGCCAAGGAACATGTCACTAGTGAAATAGTACAGCAGTGAATTGATGTACTGACACTGGATCAGTACACTCAGCAACTTGCAATAACTCCGAGTCGTTATATCAATTTATTCATTACTATGAAACATTGCATTTATGAGGTCCAAGGGCAAGTATCAAGCCACATTAACCATCCTTGATTGTTCTCTTTTATTACCCAGCATAACTACTGTAAAATGGCCATCAAGCAAATTCAAATTTGTATTAAAATGAAACCTATAGACATGTTTTTCACACCACTAACCAGGAATCTCATTTTATTAACCAGGCAAATTTCTACCAAAACATTGCATTTTGTTTTCCCTTTACAAACTGAAACAAAAAGGTATGTAAGCAATTTTATATTTGTTTCCCAATTAGAAAGTCAGAGTCAAACACATTTGTCAGTTTTTGCACTAGGCCACCTTTCTACATACAAAGTGCTCACAGTGAGGGGAGGGAGGGCAAGAAATTAAATAGTATAATTAAGCTTAGCAGAAATAAAGATCGCATACCCTACTATCCATTAAAAATTTTGATGGATGTTGTAATGACAGCTTTGGCTAGCTCATCCCACCCAGACTTGCTGAAGTCCTATGCAAGCCAACCTGAAATGCGAAACAAAGGAAGAGGAGAATATCTAAAGGAAGACTCCTCCCCCCTCAATATTTTAATATTTGACACAATTTTGTGATGTCAGATTGAAAAGGCCACTTTTTTCTCAATTGAGTGTTTTTCCTTTAAGGCAAAAAGGATTCAGAAATGGTGTGAGAATGGAAGAAAAAAAATGTCTTCTCAAAGAGGTAGAATGTGTACAGATGGGAAATGGAAGTACAGTGAAACTTGCCCATAACAATAAACTTCCCTAGCAGACCAATAAGTTCTTGATACATAATCAGGTATGGATAAGCTTTTAGGGCCAGGCAATTGTTGTCATAGAATTACCCTCATGGAGCTCAGGTGCAAGAATAGTGGCAAAATGAAAGCTGAAACATTCCAATTGAAGGCAATTTCCTTCTTATGGATAGAGGAAGATATCAAATACAGCGTGCTCGCTCACTCACAACTGGTGTTCCTTACGAGAGGATGGATGTCAAAGATCTCCACTAATCTATCGGACTCCTTTTATAGGGGTAAAGGACAAGATTATTTTCATGAATCTAAAGGTCCTGATACAGATTCAGGGGCTTTCTTGCAGTTAACAAGTAGAGACAAATCTCTGATTTGTTTTACCCCAGGTCTGCATTTTCACAAGAGTGCCAGGAGACAATTTGCCAGTGTATTTCCAATGGGTAGGGGTTAAATAGATGAAATGAAAGAGAGACCGAGAACAAAAATCTATTTGGTTACAGCTCAGCTTGACATTTGTTTGGTAGGCATTGCACTAGAAAGCAACAGAGGAAAATTTGAGTTCTCAGGCTTCAGGACAAGTTTCATTGTAGAAAAGGTTTGCCTGGATGACACTAGAATATTTTATTCAGACCAAATGCACGTGACTTAATTTGTACAGGAGACTTTTATAATATATCTTGTATACATGCTATCACCTTTTAAAGCGGTCAGTACTAAACTTTAAATAAATTCAATGTTGAAAGCATTCTGAAAGCCTTTATGAAAAGGAATGTAAAAGGCATATTATAAGATTCTCTCTATATAAGATTTATATAGAACATTCATATGCTTTATAAGCAATAAATACATGATATATTTGCATATGTTGCACATCTACGTTTTTGTGCTTCCTTGTAAATAACCAAACCCTGCAGTATATAAAATATTTGAAGCAACGTTACATCAATTTTAGATCCAGTACTTTCTGTTAAGGCATAAAACTGCATATTCAATGCCTTTATAAGTTTAAAATAAATAAATACAAGTCACCACTTGATTTATAAAGACAACTACAGATGACTCATCAGTGTTTGTGTTTGACAATACACATCTGTTCCAAAGAGATTACTAATAAACCAAAGAAAATAGTCTTGAAACAAAGAATGGATGTGTTGGTGCCCAATAATTGTTGTAACCTTTCACCAAAGCAGTGGGCACTCAAGCTTGTCAAAGCCTGGGTCTTTTCGAAGCTCCCAGTAGGTTTCTGTGCTGATCCAAGATTCTTTACCAACGTCATGAGATTGTCTATGAAAAATGACATATTTTAAGTGATCAATTTGATTAAAATACAGAAACTTATTCATTCAAATAAAGATAAAACATTTATACAATATGTTTTTAAAGTAATTATTAAATAGATGCAACGTGAGATCTGACAAGATGAGATACCAAAATAAAATGCTAATTCATCTCCACTGCTGCCACAGATCTGCTGCTTTGCCCACAAAATACAATCAATCCACTTTTCAGTATATCCTGCGAAGAGACATCTCAACGACATGATAAGGCATATATCAAATGCAAGGATTATTATTATTTTTATTCAGATACTTTACAAGGGTTCAGATACTCTAGCTGACCGTATCCAGAGCAAAAATCCAGAACTAATAGCTACTCTGGCAATGTTTCAATATCAGGTCCTTTGCACGTAATTCTGGAGAGAAATCTTAATGCTGCTTTGATTACTCACTTGTGATAGCAGTATCTGGAGACAAAACTACTCATACATACATTTTAATTTAACTTGGGGTATGTTCAATATGCATTTAGATAGAGACTGCTCAAAGGATGTAATGGATATTTAAAAAAATTATAGCAGTATAATTTTATATTGTTCATGTATTTGGAAGTAAATAAGTTTCTTGTACTAGTGTCAATATCATTGGGAATTGTGCAGCTTATTACTAAGGGGACACAGTCTAACATAAAAATAAGCAGTTATATGTATTTCGGTGTTAAAATTAAGCAGTAAAATTTAATCCAAAGGGCACACCTGCAATGATTTTGTAAAAAGTAATTTAAATAAATTCTCTAGTATCTGTATTCTTATCGTTATAATATAAAATGTCTATTGTGAGAACCAAATTTACATCGGAAATTTACCTAAATTTAACTTACTTACCTAAAATACCGAGCCTGATGAATCATGTTGTTTTCTTCAAGAATTCGCCTCCTTTCTCTTTGAAGTTGTTCAATCCTTTCCTTTTGGGACTCTGCAGCTTCAGTGTTACCTTCTTCCAAATATCTTTGAAGCAAAGATGAAATAAACATTAAGAAGCCATTTGAATCTAAGGAGTTTTAAAACATGCTTTAAGAAAGTGCAACTCATATTAAAAAGGGCCATACTTAAAACTACTTATCTTTTAATTTGTAAACAAGAGACATATAACAGCAAAGAGAAGTGTTTGTGGGGGGGAGGGGATGGAGAGAGTGCTTTGTGTCTGAAGGACGAGAAGCATTTGTACAGTCTTAATAATAATAATAATCCTTGCATTTTATATAGTGCTTTACACATCTTCTAGACATCTCAAAGTGCTTCACAGAATAGACTGTAAAGTGAATTGACTCTATATTTGTGGGCGAAATGCGGCAGCCAATTGCGAACAGCAGTGTCCCACAAACAGTCGTGATTTGAAATACTAATTTATTATTATCTTATTTTCTTGAGGGATTATTATTAGATGTGTGGAGAAAGGAAACTTACCCAAGGTTTCACCCTGCCGGGAATCAAACCCAGATCTCTCGCTTGCAAAGCGAGTGCTCTAACCGCTGAGCTACAGGACTCCATAACTGAAAGGTTATGATAATGCGAGCATGAACACTTCCAAGATATCTTAAGCATGTTTTTGCAGCCCTACACTACTTCCTTTGTGTGTAACTGGTAGGAGAATGAATTTTACAGAATAAAAGATGAAACATCACCTCGTGTGTTTCTAGCTTGAAAGACCAAAGTGAGGATTCACTATATTTAAATGCAAATGGACAGAGCCTTCTTTTTATAGATCACATTAGCTTTCAAAATAGGTTGACAATAACAAATTGCTGAAGCGAAACAAATAAACTATTTTCAAAGGACAACATTTTTGTTTTGCCTCCATTCTAACAAAACGACAAAAAACAAATCACAGTGAAGGCATTCTCAGTGGAGTAATCCTTGTCAGTACACCTTGAAAATCTATTCATACAGATGAGTACATTTGGATGCATGTCTTTTGGGAGACAAGACTTGTAAAGTAACTCTTTGTCTCCTCTAATCCTATCAGAACACAGCAGCAACAGTCTTTATCTCAAGTAGACAAAGTACATTTTTATCAAATAAATAAAAAAAATCATCATCTGAGATAAGGTAGAATCCCAAGACACGGTGCTCTAAAAACAGTACAAAGACTGTTAAAGGTGCTGCAATATCTGGATGCAAACGTATCTTGCAGAGTTCTAAATATAACGCTCAAGAGGACTGGCTATTATTAGCGATGAGTGACTATTATTAGCGATGAGTGGCCACTTGTAGCAACATCCCAATTTGCATATTTTGAGGCAAGCTGTGTTCAGTGACGAGGTTAATAAACATTTTCAGAAATGGGAGGCACCAAACCACCATGATGTATTCTGAATATAAAGTGATTCTTTTGATTGGCTATTCGTTGAAATATTGAGGTATGCAATGCTGATGCACTGATAACGCTCTGAGACGCTTCAAAGAGTTGTTATTGTTGTTGATAAGAAACTAAGTGTCAAATGTCATTTTAACCACTGCTCCTCAACTTATCTTTCTTTCCAATCTTTATGGTGCTCAATGGAAGGCCCGTTGCAGAGTCTTGGCTAACAGCAATGTTCACAGGGTCATCAAATATAAACAATCTTTTACCTTTGCATTAATCCATCCTTGTGCTGAACAATAAGAGTTAATGGTTATAACCTCACAAAGTGGAACATCCTTTTTTTTCATTGAGTGGAAATCAATGTAATTGAGAATTAGATGGCACCATATATTGAGGTCTAATGGAATAGGGAAAACACTGTAGGATGAAAGCTTCTATGCAGTCAGTCAGCTTTCATCAGTTACCTCATTGATGCAATCTTACAATCAAATCAAACCTTTTATCAGCTACCTTGGGTGTCTGAACGTAATGGACCAGAACCAGGGTAAAAAAAATTACAAACATTGCCATCCTGCACCAGAATCAACAAACTTTATTTCAGACCAGAATTCAATTGCATGGTAACACATGGAAATCTGGCATTTTTCTGATATTCTTTGGCCATTGATAATGGGAAGTTCGGTAAAATGGAACTCTCACTCATTATTTTACCAAAATATTTCTACAAACATTCACTAGGTGGAGCTAAACTACAGAGAAAATGAAGAAAACTTTCTTCCCTCTTCCAAACTTCAATTCTCATTCCTCTCCGCTCTGTCCCAACATTAGTAGCAGAGCTTTCAGCCACTTTGCCCCACTCGCCAAAGATCTCTCTCAAATCCCTTTTTACCTTACCTTCTCTGTGCCTTGAAAATGCTTCTAAAAACCTACTAGACTGTGGTCAACCTAAACCCACCTTATTTCTACCCTGATCTGCAACATTCCCTGTAAAGCTCCACTGCCACGAAGAGCTCCAAGACACTTCCCTGTGTGAAGGGTGCTACATAAATGCAGTTTTTTCTGTTGTGGAGCACTTGAGCCATTAACCTACTTGAAAGGCTCTATATAAGGCCCATTGTTGTTGTTCTTGCATCACTTTACATGCAATTCTTCCCACCCCAAACAGATTCAGAGTTTTGATCAGACCCAGGAAGGAAAGACACAAAAAGAACTTCACTTTTGTGATATAAGAACCCAACCTGCCATTCTGTCCTACCTCACGATAAACGTTGACTAATCTGTATTCACAAGAGTCAGGAAACATGACAGGAGGTGGAAGTAAACTGGGATTCTGAAACTATTCCCTGTGATGAGCAGAGAGATATTCCGTCATTTGACATAAATCCCATGGCTCTTGCTATGAGATGAGAAGAAGCAAGCAGTTATTCATGGAGAAACAGTGGGCTAATGATATGGGACGAGGAGGCACATGTGGCATCAGAGACACATGATGTTCAAAATGAAATCAAACCAATTATCTCAGGGACTGGGCAGCAGGCTCCCAGAGCGCAAAAACACAAGTGAGAGATGGAGAGAGAGAGAGACGGACAGAAAGAGTGAGAAATTGGCACCAGTGACAAGGGCAATAGCTATGACAAAATAACAAAAGATATTCACTCAGAGAGCTCTTGGGATGTGGAATGTCCTGGCAAGTAAATTAGTAGAGGCAGAGTCCATTGTGGGTTTCAAGAAGGAAATAGACAGGTATATGAAAGATCAAGGCTTAAAGGAGTATGGCGTTAAGGCAGGGCAGTGGGATTGAATGGAATACTTTGCTCTGGGAGCCGGTGCAGACTTGATAGACCAAATGGCTGCCTTCTGTGCTGTAAATTTCTATGATCCTATGATGAAAACAGAACATGAAAGGGAGAAAGAAAGAAAAAAATGCAGAGCACAGAAGTACAGAGGTAAGAAAACGTGGAAAAGCAGAGGTAAACATTGGAGAAATAAAAGTCACCAGAGAATAAAAAGCACTTGATTTGGTATAACCTTATTTACTTCTTGTGCGTAGACAAGTGAAGGCTCACTCATAAAGGCAAGTTTTGTTTAATTGTTCTGTCAAGTCAGTGAAACATACAAAGAGAGAAAAAAAAGTTGGAGCCAGAAAATATAATCAAGATACAGCACTGATGTCACATTGTATGAATCAGACAAGTTCCTGGATCTTCTAAACAGAAGCCAAAAACAAATCTCACAATGAAAGGTCTTCCCCCATGTTCTAATGATTGAGAGTATGTGGGCGTTCTCTGTGCTGAAACCTAGCAACAGAATACATTACTATTATTTGTGTGATTGTTGGGGAATATTTTAGAGACCTTGGCTTTAGAGTCAAGTACGATAATTGCAGGAACTCAATTATGACAATGGGATGAAGGGAGACCTAAGCCAAATAAATTACTTGGAGAACAGCGAGCAGTACATATTTAAGTACGAGATGAATGATACAGGTTAAATCCATTCCTACTGTGAGTAAAGGACATGAATCAAAGGCTCCATGGTTAAATAGATTAGAATAAAATTGATGTTTAAAAAGTAATATAAAATAAAAATATAGAACTTATAATAAGAGTAGAAAAAGAATTATGATAAATTATGAGCAGAAAGTGTATGGCGCAACGTAAGCATTATTATATCACACATATTGAATCAGCAAGAATAATTGCAAATTAATCTAGCCTGAAAATATGATACATTAAATTTTGTATTGGAAAAAATTCACTTATGTTAACTTCTAGGGATGGATTTTCTTTTCTAAAACAAAGTACAATGTCTTCAGCCAATGGAACTGTGTCAGAACCACAAACGGCCTCAGCACCCTCCAGGTAGGAAAAAGTAAAGAATTGTGGTGTGTGACTATCAGATTAGGAAAGAATTGGGCTCAGTTGTACGACTTCCCATGGTTGAAATATCCTGCTCACACATTAAGATGACACATTATGAATGGGTGCTTAGGTGAGCTGCTAGATGATTGCTCGCACCAGTGAAATTATACTCCAAACATGAATCACTATCTTCAGAACAGGAGGAGGAGGAAGGAAAAAAAAACACATTACAGATGTCGTAAGTAGTTAGATTCAGGGCCCCTTGAGACATCCTCCCAACGTGAAAGGCTCTGTACAAATGTAATTTGTTGTTATGTTGCAGTTCAGCACTCACAAAACTTGTTTTAAAAAAATAAGAAAAAGATCAAAGGAGAAAGCTTCAATCTAGAAAATCTAGGCACAGAGACCACCTTCACTGTCAATGATACCAAAGCAAAGAGTATGTAAATCCACATCTGATGTTTCTCACCTCAGTATACAGGAGAGGTGAAGTAAGGAAAGAAAAGGGAAAGAGAGAAAACAGGAAAATTAAGATGAAAAAACTGAGTAATAAAGAGAGCTGTTTTACTCTTACACTATTATAATCTTTGAAGTACCTTTGATCAGGCCGAAACCTTGTGTCAGTGGATGGCAGGCTTGATTTCAAATCAGGGTGCAGTTCATTTAATTCTAGTGCAAATTTAGTCAGGCCGTAGTACTGCTCAAACTCCTTTGGAACAGAATCTGCAAAGAGGAGGGGAAAACAAATGAATGTATAGGGTGGCCCAGGATCCTGATACTGCAATATGCTACCCACGCTGACAAGACTCAAGTTACATTTGCACTTTTCCACATGATGAGATTGCCAGCTCAGAAGTTCCAGATACTTAACGATGCACATCAGACCTCTCATTAAAATAAGAGCATAGACTGTGCAAAGCAGCACTGAAAGTGAATCAGGGCATCATATGAATCATATGGACTCATATACAGATCATTCTTCATTTCAGACAGGGCATACCAAGACCTCATAAAAAGAATAAGTTTCTGTTAATACCTATTATTATATTTTTCTTAAGAATTATTAAAAAGACGATTCCTTGACTAAGCGGCTAGGTGATGTGGTTTACACACAATATGAGTAGCTAGCTTCCTCGACCTAATAAGATTTCAGGCCAAAATTTGCATGAAGTAGTTCTTCCTACATCCTCTTTTAGATCCTCCAATCGCTGTCTTGTACTTGTGTCCCATGGTTATGGACTCCCCAACCGATGGAAACAGCTAACCTTATCAAACCCTTCTATAATTTTAGAGTGCCCTCTGTAGCGAAAAAAGGCTTAACCTATCTGGTCTGTCCTGATACAGTAACAGTATCCTATCAGGTCCTGGTATCATCCAAATATACCTTTGCTGTACTCTTTCCATCAATGCTATATCATTTTCATAGTGTGGAGTGTAGTGTCATTGGACTTCAAAGTGTGGTTTAACTAAGGTTTTGTAGAAATTCTTCACTTTTATATTCCATCTCGCTGGATATAAAGTCCAAACCTCTATTGGTGTTTTTTTTATAGCCTATATCTGAATGTTTGCGTTTGTATGTGCACATATGCGTGTGCAAGTATAAAACAATCATAGTCTGAGTGAATTGCTGACCATACGTGCAGCTGATGTGTCCTTGCATTTTAGGATTCTACAGCTGCTAAATCTGAAGCAATCTTCTGGAACTACAGAACAGTAAAAATTCACAGAAATCTATGCTGATCTTCAATTCACATTCCTGCATTTTTGTTTGAATTGCTAAAGGTTTGAACAACAAAACATATGCAACATAAATACAATATAACATGGAACAATTAGGGAGAAGGTAGGATGACAAAGTATAAAATAGGAAATAAAATCCTAGATTTTACAATTAGGCGGGCAAAACATAAACAGGTGAATTTCAGCCATAATAATAATAATCCTTGCATGTGATATAGAGCTTTTCACATCTTCAAGACATCTCAAAGCGCTTCACAGAATGTACTGTAATGTGAATTGACTGTATATTTACGGGCGAAATGCGGCAGCCAATTGCGCACAGCAGTGTCCCACAAACAGTCGTGGATTGAGTGACCAAATTATTTTTATTCATATTTCTTTTCGAGAGATTATCATCATGCATGTGGAGTAAGGAAACTTGCCCAAGGTTTCGACCTGCCGGGAATCAAACCCAGGTCTCTCGCCACTAACCACTGAGCTACAGGATTCCACATGACGCACTAGTTAGGCTGCAGATGGAATTTTAGTCTAGCTTTGCGCACCTTAATATAGGAAGGGTGTCAAAGCCATAGAGGGGTGCAGAAGCGATTTGCCAGGATGATAGGTTTTACTTACGAGGAGAGACTGGAGCAATTTGGGCTGTTTTCACGAGAGAAAAATAGGTTGAGAGAAGACCTGATAGATATTTTTAAAATAATGACGTTTTCTGGCAATATTAAATTATTTGCACTGGTGAGGGAATCAGTAACTAGAGGAAATAGTTTTAAGGTATTCGTGAAGGTAAAGTGTTCTGGGATGCTACTCGGCTTAAAAAGCGCAATATAAATGCAAGATGTTGTAGTTAGAGAAATAATTTTATTTTAGGCACAGAGTTGTTAGGACTTGAATGGTGCCATGGGATCATTAACAACCAACTGAACAGGAAGATAAACCGCATCTGAATCAATCTGAATTACAACATGGCAAATAACTATTTTTCTGAAAGTATATTGTTCTTTTTGTAGGTGGACAGGGGTCAACCAACTGGGGCACAGCAACGTATCACAAGCAGCCATAAAGTGAATGATTAGTTTATGAAATGAGATACTTAACATAGGTACTCACTTGGTCTCCAGATGCAAGTTGCTGATGGGGGTGAGCCACAATATATACCCTCGTGCCATTTTCCAAACAGTTTTTGCACTGTTTTCCCATATTGATCCATTATGGTCCCTTCAACCTCATTTACATTTGAGTTCCAATATTTTGCCTAAAACATCAAAGAACAGTGTGAGAACTGACTCATTTGCACTTGCAAAGTTAAGGGCATTTGCAGTCCCCTGGGTATATATGCATTTAACAATGTGAATAATAAATCCCAATATAGGGATTATATTAACAAAAGAGGTCTAGTGAATTGATAAAAAAAATGCAGTCAAGTGTCCCTGTCTGAAAGTAAGACTTGCATTCTACAGTTTTTTCTTGCATTTCGATATGAAAACAGAATGAACGATGAAGCATTTATAGCTGTCAATTTCATCCACAAGATGCTAAATTGTTATAAAATTTTGTTTGAATTGAAAATCAAAAAGTTAGCAGTGTGAATGTGTATAGAAACAAAGTAGGTTAAATATTTCTGGAGTGCAGTGTGCTCAAACCTAAATATAGGCTTGCTCCGGTGAATGAATGAAGGACATATATGCAGAAATAATCTCTTGACAACACAGCAAAATCCTCTGCTTTACACACTTATACCAATTTAATAAATAAATGTAATAATAAATGCAATAATAATTATTATTATGCCTTTAGGAATGTTGTTTCAGGACGTCCCCTGAAAGGAAGAGAGCAAAAATCTGTTCATACCTTGACAAATGTCAACTTGCATTGGCAAATGCTGCTGTTCCTGTTCTTTATTAAAATTTCACCATAATGTTCTATCCATCGCTGTCCACTCAGGATATTGTGTATACAAGAGGTTACTTTACTCCATTCATAATGGTCTCCATACCTGAAGAAGACAAGGACCAATTAGCTAAGGGATTTCTTTTTTTAAAAAAAAAGCCTGGCTTTGATTATTCTGGATTTAATGATGGAATAATTACTTAAATACTTGATGAAATCATTTTATTTGGAAACTAGTCGAGCCAACCCTCTACAGTGGTCTTGGTAGTCCAGATCCTGATCCAGGCAGATCGGCAGTACTCCAGGGTATGGCTGTTAGCAGTTAAGCCAGCCTGGCTCATCGGTAGCATTTGGAAGGGCAGAGCAGTCATTGGGGGCAGGTATTCTTCCCAGTCAAACCAAAGCCCTAAGAGATAGGGTTGGCCTCGTTGAACATGCAACAGGAAAGTTTGCCAGTCAGTGCATTCACAAGTAATGCGGTTTTAGCTGGTTAAACTCCAGCAGTACCCCAGCACACATTCTGCAGGCCCCAGGTCTTGGTTCTTACTAGCCTGTGTCTATTACTGTCTGGAATTAGGTAAGCAGGATGTGTCCCTCCGTGGAGAGAGTGCACATTCCATTCCAAACATGAAATTTCCTTATATCGGTGGGATGCATTGAACTGGAGTCCAATTCGTGGAGTCCTGTAGCTCAGTGGTTAGAGCACTCGCTTTGCAAGCAAGAGACCCGAGTTCAATTCCAGGCAGGGTGAAACCTTGGGCAAGTTTCCTTACTCCACACGCCTAATAATATTCCCTCCAAAACCAAAAACAATAATAAATTGGTCATTTTCAATCCACGACTGTTTGTGGGACATTGCTGTGCGCAATTGGCTGCCGCGTTCACCCACAAATATACAGTCAATTCACTTTACAGTATATTCTGTGAAGCGCTTTGGGACGTCCTCCCGACGTGAAAAGCGCTATATCAAATGCAAGGATTATTATTATTATTATTATATAACTCTCAGTTTGGTTTGGATACTCTTTAGCAAAGTGCTGGATTTTCACATTTGTCAGATATCTGGCTGACCAAAAATATTTGAGGTAACTAACTCTTTGCATGTTAATGACAAAGTACAAATAGCTACAGGCTACAAAGAAGTTTTTTTTTGCTTGCTTATAGTTTTATATGTTTTCAAGGTCCTTAAAAACAGAATCGGAAGGAAGAAAGATCAGAACATATTCAGAGAATTAAGTGAAACATGATTTTTTTTAATGCTGTATTTGTAGTAGAGGAAGGAACCAGACCAAAAAATTGTATTTTATATAGAAATAAACAGAATGGGGGGAAAATAAAACACTTTCACTTTTCTGTACACTTTTTTAGGGGGAGGAGAATTTGCTTGAAATCTGCATAACAGATTTATGAATAATTCATAAAACAAATGTACATTTATATAGCGCCTTTCATGTCACGATGATGTCCTGAGGTGCTTAACAGGACTGGCTGACACCCAGCTAGGCGTGGGAGCCGAAGGGAGTGGGGAGGGAAAAATATACTAAAAGCAGGTCAAAGAAGGACGTCTTGGTGATGGACCTTGAATTAGGTGAGTGAGTGAGTTGGAGAGTATCTAGGATGAGTTCTAGAGAGAAGACAGAAAGACTATAACTAAGGAACTTTAAGCAACAACAACCACAACAATATCCCACCCCAAATTAAATAATCTTGCTACGCATCTCATTGTTATTTGCAAACTGTTGCTGGGGCAAATTAGCTGCCTTATCTGCCTCTTATTAATTTCATTTCTAATTAATCTCATTCTATAAAGCTCTTTAAGAAGTTTATTTTAGGTGAACAGCCAACACACTAGATTGTTTCATAATTTCTTAGCAAATCTTTCATCTTTCAACACAATATCATAGGAAGTGTATATGGGGTCAGCCTTGCCCCGAGTCCAAAGGTTGTGGTTTCAAGCCCCATGTTATACCGTGACTTTGAACTCGTACTCTAGGCTAAGAGTCCAGTACAGGGCCGGGGTCGTGCTATATTGCTGGAGGTGCCATCACTCAGGTAAGATGCTAAACCTAGGCCCTGTCTGCCTTTTCAGGTGCATGTTAAAGATCCCATGCATTGTTCAAAAAGAGAAGGTGTCTGGCCAACAATCCCCTAGAAAAAAATCGGACATTCATTTCATAACGTTTGTGGACACTTGTGCACAACATTGGCTGCACCTTCAAATGTACACTTTACAATAAAATCCCATGCAGCAATTTGAAATGCTGAGGAACCATAATTAAATTCAACGATTATTGAATCTTGAATATATAAAAGTATCCTATTAGATAAATCATAACAATAATAATAATCCTTGCATTTGGTATAACGACATCACTTTGGAAGGACATCTCAAAGCGCTTTATAAGATTTACTGTGAAATGGAGTGACTATTTGTAGGTAAATTCGGCAGCACAATTGTGAACATCAATATCCGATAAACGGCCATGAAACAAATGACCAATTTTTAATTTGGGGGATTGTTACCAATCGTTTACAAAAGGAGAAAGTTCAAGAAATAATTAATTTCCATAGAATTAATCCCTTGCTGATTCACTGCACTCTGCAACTAGCTTGGAATGGTTGTGCTTTTTGCAGTTAAAAAACTTTTATTGCACAGATTATTAATATTTAATGATGCACACATCAAAAACATCCGTGTAAAATTTGTTGTGTAATGTTGCTAGTTTCACAGTTATTTCTATCTGGACAGAGTATAGTCCATTGCCATTAGTGCATACTCTTTATTTTTAGTCTATAGCCAATCGGATTCAATGGGGTCTATTTTGCTCCCTTCAATATGTTTCACAGAGTCATGCCTAGGGTTAAACCAGCCTAACTGGAACCCTAGATGAGCTTGGACTTGCATCAGGCCTCATTTTTTTTCCTCTGAACATCTACTTTCCCAAACTGTCATTTTCACAGGAATATACAGGATATTTTCTCTAAGCTTCTCTTTTTAGCTTTACAATTATGACCAGATGATTTTTCCAGTTCTGCATTTGAATGCTTTAAACATAGCATTTTGCACTTCATTAAGTCTGCTATTAATTTGGGTCTTCAATAAAATGCTACAATTGATAATTATGTAGTTGCACTACATGATTGAAAGGTATTGACAACTTTTGAAATGTGCAAAACTGCAGAGCATGCACTCAGTCTACTTTTATTCCATTTTAATGAATGAACAAGCACTACAATTTATGATACAATTTAGTTGCATTGGATTGGAACACTGCATACAGAAGAGATTGTGAGTCGACAGAATATCAATGACACTTTCATACTGTGGTTCTCAGGACCTCCAGAAAGCCAAATTGACCAATTTTATTCTGCAAACTCACTGCAACAAAAGACATTACTTGACGTACCCTTGCAAAATAACCTCAGACGTCTTGACGTTATTTTGCAAGTATATTTGCTGAATAAAATTGTGTCAGTGCATGAGTGGTGCGTCAGTGGTGGATACATGAGGATCCATTGTATTCTGCGTTTGTTAACCTGCCAGTTCCAGAAACCACGAGCAATACTCATTTAATGTGTAAATCTTCAATTGGATCAGTGAAAAGACTGAGTACTAATTCACTGCTCTGCCCAGATACTGGACATGCTCACAACTGACCCACAGTCACAAGACAGGTTTCATGGTCATAAATTACATTTGCAAATACATGTCTAGGCTACTTAATAGAAAAGGAATTACCAAACAGTTTTAATTTTTACAGAATATAATGCAACTTGCAAATAGAAATGGCAAATTGTTCTTTCCTATAGGTGCGTATGAGTTGCTAAACTATCCTTGATAAACGGTAAAATCGTAGCAAAAACTCCATCTTCCAACATCTAGCAGTGAGGGATAGGGAGGCAAAGAAGAGAGATGAGTTAGTTTGGAAAAAAAAACTGCTCTCTCTACAGTAGAAGCCTATTTGAACCCTGGGGTTGTTGCCCTTCGAATCCTAACCAGCTCTAACACATAGTGCTTTCACAATCACTGGGCATATGTGCAAAGAGATGGCCAGCTCCTTTGGCATTTCAAAATCCAGCTTGTATGACGAAAGCCAAATGGATGACTTGTAGGCCATCAGAGGTTGACCACATCAGTTCCAGTGTGAAGTGATGATACCACATTTTGGATTTTTTAGTTAGGTGGATCTATATCCCAACCACGCAATAAGCAAACTTGCATTATAAAAGGGTTGGACTGTAAGTGCATTTTACTTCAACCAATTTATTTGTGCCACAGATTTGTCCATAATGATACTCACCCTGGCAGAGTTACATGTACTGTGCCAATTGGTACTATCTCTATCGATTTACCCCAGAATTTGTTCTTCCACCTCACATCTGAAATAGAAAAAAAATCAATACTACGAAACAATCATTTATAATCCTAATAAATCAACTTTATACCATCTGAGAGCAAGGTTAAAAGTACAAATATTCTACTCTTAGATAAATCTTGATTTCTTTATACATTACAAATTAATTGTAGATCAAGCAGTTCCGAAATCATAAAATGCATCATGTATTTGGTTAATGAAGAGAGAATTATTTTCTATTAGCAGATGATTAAAACTGAGCAATTAAATTGGAGGAATACTAAAGGGGACAGTTGGTGCCAGGGTTAGGTGGCTGTACGCACAGTCAAAGAGGAAGGCCTTTAGCTGCGACCTGAAGATGGGGAAGGAAGGAGCAAGGCAGAAGGATAGAGTAAGAGTGTTCAAGAGTTTCGGGGTGCAGTGGTTGAAAGCGTGGCCACCGACGGAGGGCACAAGGGACTTACAGAAGGCCAGAGCCAGTCGAACGGAGACAGCGGGTAGTGGGTTGAGGAGTAAGTAGGTCAGAGAGATAGGGAGGTGCCAGGGCACGAAGGGAAATCCGATCAAATGTGCAGATTTAATGAGCTGAATGGCCAGTTTCTGTGCAGAAACATTCTACAATTCAGGTTTAGAAGCCCAAATCTTCCATGTTGTATAAGCCTACCTTGCCAGAAGACAAAGTTTTTTGATTCAGCATTACATGCAGAAATGGGAGGGTGGTGGCTGACCTAGAAAAGAAAATATTTTTTGAAGTTACAATTTTTTTCCTCTCTCCTCTCAAAATAAATCTGCTATCATGGGAAAATCATGTAGCTCAGTGGTTAGAGCACTCGCCTAACAAGCGAGAGACCTGGGTTCCATTCCCGGCAGGGCGAAATGTTGGGCAAGTTTCCTTACTCCCAGGGCTCTGTTTACCGAGCAGTAAGTAGGAACCCAGTTGTTAGTCAATTGGCAGATCACTTTTCCGGGGATAATAATCCTTAAAAAAAAATTTGCTCATTTCAATCCACGTCTGTTTGTGGGACACTGCTGTGTGTAATTGGCTGCCACGTTTCGCCCACAAATATAGTCAATTCACTTTACAGTATATTCTGTGAAGCACTTTGAGACGTCTGGAAGACGTGAAAAGCGCTATAACAAATGCAAGAATTATTATTATTAAAAGATAGTGTTCACTTTCATGGCATGCAACAGTTAAAAATAGCCTTGAGTTCCAACTTGTTCCACCCTCTGAATTTGAATCTAGTTAGCTTTTAACAGTGCTGAAGAATTTCAGAATTGTGGAAAAACACTTCTAGTCTCAACAGGAGTTCTCCCTTTGCCACGACTTTCGAGATGAGCAATTATTGAGTGTCCATATCTGTCTGCAAAACTGCAAACATACTTATACTTACATACTTATCCATTTGGGTTCTACTTTTGATTTGTCATAAAAACTGTTGAAATTGGTTTGATTTGCTCAGAATTTGATTTGTCAAAGGTTTTGTTCACAGCTTCTCAGAAACACAATAAAAGTTTGAGGCAGGGGTCAGTCGACCATTTGTCTATCCATCCAACCTCCCACAAGATTGCTTCAAAATACTTGTATATATTGAACAACAAGGAATCCCATTTCTTACATTCTGACTATATTAGACTCAAACCATTCACCTACATCAACACTTAAGTCACTTCCCCTTTTCTTAAATTATGTTATAGTCATGAAGCATACAAAACAAGACAAATGATTAGAATCTACAGTACTACGGTATTTTTATTTCAAATACATTGCTTACCCATTTATCATTGTAACCAATATATAAATTAGTGGGGCCAACCTTTATGGTCGGGTAAGAAAATAATTTGGGGGCTTCTTGATGGCCCAGTGGGTCCACAGGTTGGCCACCACTGATGTGAATGAATTACCAACCAACTTGATGCTTCAGCAGGTTTACACTTCATGAAGTAGAGGAGTGGTGCAGAAACACCTTTCAAAAGCAGTTTCACTCTGTACATTTAGAGACATGATATGAACACCCTAAATGTGTAGGAAGCAGCATTACCTGTTCTGCAATAAACCTGAAGCCTTTGTCTTCTCTCACGCATTCATACGTTTCCCCAAGAACTGGGTTAAATGGCTTACTCCCAGCTCTGTAATATGTGGATGCATAAGCTGAAACTGCAAAAGCTGCTACGAAAACCTGTGGGAATATGAAAGATAAATGATCCTGTTCTCATTCCATCACTTAAGCACTTCCCGGAACATTGATTCATTAAGATACAGAAATCAGAATTATCATTCATTAATTCTTTTTACATTGTGGCAGTTTACATAGAACCAGTGAACAGGGATATTTCGTTATTTAAAACACATGCTCAGGAAAAAAAATCTTGTACTGAAGGTCAAACAAGTTTGATTTTACAAAGTCAAGTTCCTAAAATAATATTTTTACTGTTGTGTTCTACAAAATAGAAGCAACAAGTACCATTTGAAAGATTATTATTTATTCCACTGTAATACTTTAAAAGGCCAGCAAAACTGCTTTTATTAAAAAAACACACAATTTGAAATTTGGGCAACTTTTCCTTGTTTCTACAGGGGAAATTCTGTTCTCTTTTTTAATAGGGTCACGTGAATCCTTAATATCCGCCTAAATGGACAGATACGACCTTACTTTGACATCTCATCTGAAAGATGACACCTCTGACCAATGCGGAACTGCCCCAGTTCTGCACTGAAGTGGCAGTCAATACTCAGGAAAGGTCACAACAATAATTACTGTAAAGTAGAATCATGGAATCATAGAATATTACAGCACAAAAGGAGGCCATTCCTGAAGCCAGGAAACTAGTCTAGGTTGATGCTGTGATGTGAGACAGTAGGATGGATGTTCTGCAAGGAAAAGATTGAATGGGCCGAAGTGCCTTCTTCACCCGAACCAATCTTGTAATATCAACAATGACCGATTTACAAAAACAAATCATGCTAAGGCATATCAGGGAGGCACTGAAAGAAAGATTAAACAAAGTTAAAACCCAAGCATTAGAAAACTGGCAACGTGTTGGTGAAAAGGTTAACACGATACTCATCATTTAAAGTATTAATGATCAACGGGTCTTACAGTTCATATGAATTCTCACAGTTGGCTGGGTTCTTTATCAAGCGAAGTGATCCCTCACAAAGGGTTATCCCATGTTTGGATACAAACAACTTTTAAACAGCTATTTACCATTCTTTCAAAAGGGTCCAGGGTCTGAGATGCCTTATCCAGTAGTTCGCTGTACTCCAGTTCTTCACATAGGCGCTGAAGAGTGTTCAATGGCTCGTTTAGTTGAACCGGCATGGAAACCTTGGAAAGATCTTTTCCTATGTTATTCCTTAGAATATTCCACAAACTTATATTACTGATGTTTGGTCCTGGAGCTGGCAGACACGATCTTCTTCTCGCAAGATGTTCCGTCCCATTTTGGGCAGCAGATACTTTTTAAAACAAACAAACAAAAGAAGGAAGCAAATAATTTGTTTAGGTTTCAGAATACTAACATCAACATCTACATACAATGTTGAGCAAATTGCAGTTTTGTGCAGTTTTACTTGGTATTCTCACAGAAACAGCTCAACTGTAACATAGGGGCAAGCACAGCCACTCTGTTCTTATAACCTTGGATAGAAGATCAATCTTTTTGTTTTCTGTTATTTATTTCTAGCATTGATCAGATGCTTGTCAGGTTACAGCAATCATTGATGCTATAATTCATGTTCCAATTTTATTGCTTTCTCAGTGGGGGAACAAAGAAAATAATAGACTGTGAAATGCAGCACTATGAAATACATACCAATTATCTAGAAGCGCATCCTAATCCTGCGTACAACTTTACAGAGTAAACAGGTTAAATGAAGTCCATTTCAACAAGAAGTGGTACACAATGTGGGGAGGACAGTAAACTTAGCTAAAAAGAAAAGAAAATGGCCCTATTCTGTACATTTAGAAAAGTTCTCGCACAAAATATAGTCAAATCACTTTACAATATGTTTTGTGAAGCGCTTTGAGATGTCTCAATGGTATGATAAGGCACTATATCAAATGTAAGGATTATTACTATAAGTTTAATTTTAAAAACAAACGGTACTTTTCAAGAGTCTATATAAATCCATGGAAAGTAACCCACTGTCTGCAATATTTGCAGTCCTATTTATAGAAACTTAACTACATTCCAGATGGAATATATTTACTAACTGGTCAGTGAGCACAAAATATTTTAATTTATTGGCACTTACTAATCCATGATGGAGTGGTGGAAAGAAAGCATGCAGGATAGATTTGATATCAGGGTGAGCAGATATGTACAGCTGGCCAAAAGTTTCTGTACAGGTTAAACAACCTACATAATTGCACATTAGGAACAATCTTCATAAAGAACTGATTACTATTTTTTTGTTTAAATGTGAAAATGAACGCAATTTTACAATAATCAATTATAATCATCTACAGTATGAAATGGCAGAAGACTTCGAGCTGCCATTATATACACATTAAAAGATTAATAAGTGGCACATTTAACCTGAGCTGAAGTTAATCAAAAGTGTATTTTTTTTTAAACACGGTGTATGTATATACTTGAGGTCCCATAAATAAGGGCTAAGACCTTCAGTGTTCAAGTGAAGTTTCTATTATGTTAGTAATGAACTTAATTGATCTCAGCACTGCTTATTTTTCTGTAGGAAGAGAGGTATTTTCAGGTCATCTCTAAGAGTCTTAACACTCATTTGACCTTCCACTTTCCTTCTGTCTGGGTCCCTATTTGTGAAAGAAAATTATATAACACATTTCACAATGAGTGAAATGACTATTCACTGTTATATCTGAATGGGAAGATATTAAAAAAAATATTTTCACCAAATTCTGTCTTGTCTACTTAAGCTTTTATTCCCCAGGAACCTTACAACCTATTTATATTACACTTGGAATATCAATTGGCTGAAGTTTTGAATGGACAATGGTTTCCGATTGCTGCACTGACAGATTCTAGATTTGCGTTCCCATCACAAATCAACCTCCAGGAGATGATTTCAGATCAAAGAATATATTTTTTTTGGTCAAACAGATATATGCAGAATCTCATCACCATGCTTAAGAGTATTCGAACCAGACAGTTCCACATATGCATGCCACCTTCAGATCTCCTTGTGTCTAGAAGAGGAATGTGCACTCTTCCACTGGATGGACACACCTTGCTTACCTAATTCTGGAGAGTATTAGGCCCTGCTGTCTATAAGATGCTTGCTTGGCAGGACAAAAAATCCCTGCTGGTTAAATGCACATGCATGTATATGTTCAACTATAGATTTAAATTCATAATCTCAACTTGTTGCAGTTCAGTGGTCATGCAGTTATCGGGCCTGAAGACCTTCCTATTCAACTGTGCCTATGGTCACCCCACTCCCCCCGGTTCGGCTGATAGGGAGTGCTCACCTGTATTCCTACCTGGTGATAACACTGTGCATTTGTACCCATTAAAGTTCTGACCCACAGTGTATGCCACCCTCCTGAGCTCTCTTGTAAGGTGTTGGTTACCATCTCTGAATCCATAGTCTCCTCCCCTCCCTCCAGCCTGGTTCCAACTGAAAATATAACTACTGTATCTTGCTCCGACTCTTCAAATCTACGGAGGAATATGGAGCTCAGAGCAAATCCCTGAGGGACTTCAATCACTACTGGCCTCCAGTTTGACCTTTCTGTGAGGCATGGGAGACTGGGGGGGGGGAGGCAAGAGAAAAGGAAGAATGTAACATTTGCAAATCTTTTTATTTATAAGATTTGAGATAAGAAAATAATCAATAATGTACACTTATCCTGGGTCTGCACCACACAATAATGAGAAACTAGGTGTGAGAAGTCACGGAAAGGGACAGAAGTCACCATTATCAGTGTTCCAATGTCATGTTTCTCGGGCTCGAATTCAAATGTTGAGTTAACAAAATTGTCAAAATAGCTAAGGTTTTGAGACACGCTTCTTGAAACACAATCTATTTTCTGGGGGATGTTTTCACACAATGAAAATGGAGGTCATAAAATGACCCTTGCAGCAGAACTAGACAAAACAAACAAATGTAGAATGTGATCGGCCGGATTGACAGTGAGCACCGTCCCAAAGCTAATGCATGCTGAGGGATTACAAAATGACAACCAGACAGAAACAAGTGTTGATGCTGTGTGACTATTAGGGTGCAAGTGGTCATTGACAAAGCATTTCAATCTTTTAAGGCTTTGCAGAGAAATACTGCCATTAGCAAATTATTTCATAACATGATGGGATTAGTGTGCAACAAAATACAGCATTCTTACAGGGAGGGTGAAATTTGCTGCTTTCTCAGAGGGTTTGAGTGAACTCCAATAACAAGCTAATTACCACCAATGAGCTTTAATTCACATTTATTGTGATGTGTGTATTTGATTAAAGCTATACTGAAAAAAATATTTTTGCAGGTGCTCGAAGCCAGGTATGTAGGCTGATAACTTACAACCTGTAAAATTATCCAACTTGATTAGTTGATATCAAGCAAATTGCATATTCAGACACTAGTGATAAAATAATTAAAATGAAGAGCTTCTCAAGAGTTGCTACTATCAGCTGAGGTTAGGTTTGCAGCTAGCTTCAAATGAAACTCATTTTGCTACAAGTCTCATTTTCATTAAGTAAAAATTATTTTGGAAATTTGACTTGTCTCTTCAATAAACACCAATTCACCCACCAGCACATGTGGCATGGAATGACATATGCCAGGTCAAGAACAAGCAAAATAATCTTACACATATTCGGAGTATCAATCTCCACTTCAGTACTTAAGTTGTCCTCTGAAATATTGTCACTTATGTCACTGACATACGAGTCATCATCTGAAGCCTGCCACAGAGAAAACACTTTATTCACACTTTTTAAAATATCTGAATAACTAGTATGGACATAAATGCAAAAATAAAGTGCCACGTAAAAATGATTGTGCCACAGAGTTAGTTTTAATGCTAGCCAATTTCCTCCTCATCTCCTCTCCTCTCTTGAAGGTAGTTGACCCTTTGCCGGAATTCCACACGCACTCATCACCCTCCAATAACTTTCCAAGTGAACATTATTTATACCTGAGCCTAGACACTGAGTGGTGCAAATTATTTGACCTTAGAGATGACGTATCTGAGGCTGATCGTGCCTTGGGAAAACTACAATCCCTTCCCCATGTCAGCACACATTACTGGAAACAATCAGGAAACCTGGCTGATGTTTCTCCTCCCGAGTCCAGTTAACTCCAATTTTAGCACCCCAGCCAATCCCTGGCTGGAATCGGCTAGAACACAGACCAGGAATCAAACCTGTGTTCTGTGCGACTCTGAAGAGTCAGCAGAAAAAAATATTAAAGTTCCATACATATAAGTTTTCCAAGTACATGGTATGGAGTACGCACTCTTTCTTCCCTCCCCCGAGATAAGCACTCTAGTGACGTTATTTTATGAAATGGCACTATATAAAAATGTAAATTATTGATTTGCAGTAGAATATCCACTAACTTCATTCTCTGAAGAGCTTGCGGACAGCAAGACTTCCTGTGCATCAAAAAATTCGGAGAGAGAGTCTGTTCGAGAGACCCTGCTTTCATTTGAGAGTTGATGCACCAGAGGGTTGGTTACTTGAGTAAGGTCTTGCTGCTGTTGGGTGAGAAGGAGAAAATTAAATGTAACTATTCATATTCCAATGTCAAGAATTATAGGACAATAACTATTCAGGTAATCAACTTTTCAATGAATTACAAAGCATTTCAATCGGGTTATACAGTTAAGAATTGGCTGGAACATTTTCAAGTGGAATATAAATGTTAGTATCCTTTGACTGGCTCAGATTTTCCAGGTTAGAAATGATCCATGTAAAATACGGCAGCTGCAGCATATAATTGTGTCAGTGAAATTCAAAACAAATTGAACCAAAGCCAATAGGATTGCAGTGTGCGAAGTTAAGCAGCCCTGGTAAATGCAGCACATAGAATGCTGTGTTCCCTGCCCAAGGCCAGATCTCAAATTCCCGAGTTAATTGGTATTTGTACCCAATGGTCCACAATGACTGTCAGTTCATAGCCAATCCAGCAGATGGGGCATTTGATGACAAACCGTGCAGTGGGACACAGAGATACAGAATTAGTCTCTCCTTGCATCTATCTCCCTGTACTCAATGTCTAATGAAATAGTGGGACTGGAACCAGCCACTAGACCAAGCATGAAGCTCTCTCATCCTCACAGATACAGGACAAGACAACATTAATCAACCTTCATTCCAGCTGGTAACCTTCCCCCAGTTATTGGATTCGTAAATAATATTACTGTCACTTCTTTTTGGACCATATTATAATAAAAGTTAAATGCTACACTGTTGGCATGCCTAGTTTTAATCAACAGTACAAATACCAAATTTCTTTCAGTTTTTCTTTAGTAATTTAATCTATTTCATACTGGATTCAAATCAGTATGTTGATCTATTATTACAAAATTTACTTAAGGCTTCTTTTGATATATGCAGTAATGTTAAAATGAACAACTAGAATCAATAGCATTAATCAACCGATTGTTATACTGTTGTACAGTATTCCTACGACTAGCAAGAGATTTAACTACAATTGGAATGGATTTGCCTAGCACAGCTGAACTAAAATTATATAAAACAGAGTGCTCAACACATAATAATGAACATTTAGAACTCTGCAGCTTATCTCCTCTCCTGCATTCAGCTACACAAAGCAACATTCCCCCATCCTAACCGGCTCCATTGGTTCGCTATCCTCCAGCAGATTGGCTTCAAGATCCGTACCCTGCCTTCAAGCTCTTGCCCCATCCTTATCTTGGTATTTCATTTAGCTAAGCTGTGAGATCACACCCAACCTACATTGGTAACATATTCAATAGTCTTTCAAAAGTAGATCTGGGTAGTTTCTATTTAAATCCAGTATAAGATGACAACGTCAAAAATAGTTACTATTTGACATAAACAGAAACCGAAATGTTTCAAATACTCCACTGTACGCACACAGTTGGTATTAATTTACTGCATAGGTTGGGGAGATGACCCCATAAAATATTAAATAGGCCACACAATAAAATACACTGATCGCATACATCAGGACAATGTGATAAATAATAGATTTCCTCTGAACCACAATGCTTGATGTCTACTTTTAAAGCTACAAAGCACTTAACCTAGCTATAAAATTGATGCAAACCCCACTGCATTAACAGATTACATAACATCACAATGTAAGTAGATAAGTGTGGATTCATGCAATGTTAAAATAAAAATTGGATGGATTAATATTCTGTCCTGTCTCCTATATTTATTTCAGATACTTCCAAGTTGAGTATCTGTCCAGCAATTCAGGCTCCTTACTATGAACCCCACTTTCTTTCTATGGTCTGGAGTTAAAGGAGAAGTTCCAACTTCCAAATCAGAATTCCCCTCCGCGCCATTATTTACAATAATGCACCATTTTATTTCAAATCTCACACCTACCCTCAGAGAAAAATATCATCACAAACCCAGCCCCCTGAATAAATACATCTCCACAATATATCTCAGACTGTACTCTACGGAAGGAGATCTCACAGAAAACCTGCAAGGGAGATGGGAACACAACCCAGGAATTCCACTGATGGACTGGGACTCCACAGAGATTCACGTCTGTTCAACCTCAATCTTCAACAAAATAACAGAAGCCAATTCAAACTTCAGCCCTGTAACGACCTCACCCTGGACACATTTTAATATTACACTTAATAAATGCTGGCAAGGGTCTGTGGAGTGAGCAAGTCTGATGCATGTATTTTGGTCCTGAGACACCAGATTAATCTTTGAACAGAAGTGTTGCATTCAATAGATTCCTTAAGCCTTCCAGTTTCACCTACCCAAACGTCTATAAGTTTTGTTCAATCTTTGTTCTATTTCATGTGTTTGACTGAACCATGAACTATCCAGAATGAGGATGAAAATTTTGCAATTTGCTTCCAGGTCGGTAAAGTAATGAGTTTTAAAAAAATAAAAAAAGTTTTATAATTTGTGTATTTTACCGTACAACATTTTAAGACTTCCCGAAATTTTCACCCGGCACACCCAAAATGCAAGTTATGGAACAGCAAAACAAGCTCAGGTGGTTGTAGCAATCAATGGAAAGCTTCTGCAGTGTTTCATCCTTATTGAATGTTTAGCACTGTGATTGTAATCATCATTCATTGATTGACAAGTGGTGGGATTAGAGGTGGTGAACGCAACCATTTTCTAAATTAGCTTCTCGTGTAGAAAAGAGGATCATTTCAGTTACTTTCCATTTTCATTACACAGAATTACATAGAATGATACGGCATGGAATCAGGGCATTTGGCCCAACTAGTCCATGCCCGTGTTTGTACTCCACACAAATTCTCCACCACCACAATTTCTCCCCTCTCTCTCTCACTCATTTTCCTTGATATTGGTTTAATTTAGTGTAACTGCAGGACCTTTGTAGTAATATAAATAGGTGTAGCTGTAAGTACAAGACTGTGCACAATATACTACTCAGTATAAAATCTTAGCATTCTTAACATTAATAAATCCAAAGTATCCTGTACCCCTTGAGATTTCTCAAAGACGATACTAAGGCTTTCTGGAAACATATAATAGACACTTCAGTTTATCAGTTGATGCCTTTCATACAACAATTAATTATTTGTATTAATAGTTTAATGGACTATTAGTGGCTGTATGGACGATATAACAAGCTAGATAGTCTGACACGTGCAAGCCTTATCTGCCAGGATACAAAAAGCTAGATACCAGGAGAGCAGTTTTTCGCAAGTTGGTCAACAATTGTTCATTGATCCAAGTTTGTTACCTGAAGCAAGACACATTTCAATACAAGTCTAATTTAACCCCTCGTGGAGGGATTATTGCTTTATCTAGTACGTGTGTGTATAATATATTAGTTTTGTTTTATTTGCCAGGTTTTGCTTGATTTTAATGTGTAAAGTCAGTTGTTACATTGGACTATTAGTGGGTTTGCGTTGTAATATGTTATTTTTAAGAGATTTTTTTGGACTGAGACAACAGCAATTCTAATGATCAAATTGCAACAATCAGTGTAATTGTTGGTCTTTCAGGCACTTCTCTGCAAACAGAGCACAAAAAAGAGGATCACACGAACACCAGGATCTGTTATGAGATAAAAATAATCCTTGCATTTGATATTGCACGTTCTACATAGTTAAACTATGAGATGATTGAAGGAGAGAATGCACTTCTACAAACCAGAAACAGCAATTCTGACTCAGCTACAAGTTGCTTCGTGCACAATTCACGTTCCTCCCTGGGACATTCTGACCCAATCACAATGCTGCACCCCTGCAGCATTCTCCAAGCAATACTGCATTAAAATAATCAGATAACTTTCACAGAAAATAAGAAAAAGTCATTCACTTAAAAAACTTCTCTCCTCATTTGTCTGAAATATTGGAAAACAACAACATGCATTTATACAGTGTCCTTCACGTGAGTAACATTGGAGCGCTTAAAAAGTTACATTTTGGTCAATGTTGTTTTGTCTTTTATTCAAATTAGCAGTTACACATTTCACCAGGAGAGACTCTTGAGAGTTTGGATTTTTTTAAATATAAATTAATTTAATTTCCGTCAAACCAAGAGGGACAAATCAACTTTTACTGGGTACAAGAGGGGCAAAAATTACCAAATGTTCAGAACCAATGATCCAATGATTTTCAAACACAATCATAACGAAATGCAGACTACTGAATATCAAAATCAGTATATAGAGTGTTTACTTGAATTTGTAAAGTGATATGTACTTTCTCAATAGTATCACAGATTCCTTTAACTGCAGCAATTTCTGAGTGAAGGGAAGTTAAACAGAAGTCAATTTATAATATTTATCCATAAGGTACATTTAAAAATGTACAGCGGAGAGGAAGATAAAATGCTGAATTTAACCAGGATGTATAACAAAAATGATATTGGGGTCTAATTTGTGATATGTGCATTTGCTTTGTGACTGACATCCGAAAATTGTTCAACTTGTAATATTTACAAAACAGATAATTATGGTTTCCGAATGTTGGCAAAGTGCAAAAGCAGAGAGCAAAACAACATCAAAATCGAAAATAGCAAAATTAGCGCACACTGTCTAAAATGAAGCCTTTTGTGGTTCATACAATATCATTGATTATTATCCGGTTTTTATTATGTTGTTCAATCTTTCACACTCATTTTAAAAATGCAACAGTGAAGAGAACAGTTGCAATTACAGGATATCTGGCAACATATTAATTTATTTAACTAAAAAAATCTGTATTCCTAAACCTGTGGGCTGGCCTAAATAACCAGACCTACTGTGACACCTAAACAGGCTATTTTTATCACGACCTACTTTTAGTTCCCAATGTTTTCTCCTTCATACAGAAAGGGAAGCTGTGAAGCTAAAAATGTATTCTTACATGACAGGTTTGCGACAATAAGAACACAGGTACTGTCCGTTAATCTACCTCATGTACATGATACAGTGCCATCTAATTACAAAATGGTATTCAGGAATTAGCTGGATAGCAAGTGAGCGATTTGCATTTACAAATTGTGTTTACAAGTTGGTCCTTAAAGATAGGGAGAAAAATAAAGAAACAAG